GTTGCTGTCGTTTATTCACGATTTGTTCAAATGCTCTTATTTTTTGGAACAGAGAACCTGAATTGTATCTTAACTCGCTAATCTAGTTGAAATTTGAAATTGTCTGGCGTTTTGACTCAGCGCGGCTCTACAATTTACCGAAATTCAACCTTCGATTTTGCTTGAAAATAGCTCTGCACGGGTGAAATGAGTTTCGGCGTCTAGCGAAGCCATAAAAAAGAATTTTCAAAAAATAAATTTATTTTGGACACTCGTATACCAATGCCTTTCAACACACAAAAAATAAATGAAATCTATTTTCCGAAGTCAAAGTCATCGGACCGCTCTTAGCGGGACTGCCACTTAATGCTTAGGCGAAACAGTGCTCATGCGAAACATTGCTTGGGTCATAAAATTTTGTTAACGACCTTGTTTACTCGAAACCGGTTTTTGTGACGACACTTGGCGAAAATTTCGCTTCTTTTATTGAGTAAATTGTCTTTGTTTCTGTCTTTCAAAATGCAAAATTTTTCTTCCAAACATAAATTTAAGCGTTTTGATCCCCTGTACGAAATAGCGTGTTTTAAAATTGACTATTTGATGGTATTATCCTGATTGTTTTCTTTTAATTTCCAAATATGTTTCAAAAGTTCCGTTTTGTTTGAGTCTTTTTTATGACGAAAAGATGAAGTGTGGTTAGCTTAACGTTCCGTAAAATTAAATGTAGTCGTTGTGACTGTGGCTTTGTAAATAATGTTGTTGGTCATACATTGTTCCGGTAGGGGGCAAGTGTTTTTGTTGTCGCAGTTACAGTTATTAGTTTCCATATTCTGTGATTGGCTATTCCTAATTATATGTCGGATTATAGACTTAACGTTGTGCATGCAACTATAGCTAACTTTTAAAGTGTTTCTGTTTAAAGTCATGTGCAGTTTGTGCTGCAATGGAAAGTGTTTGTCAATTAAACTTAAGAATTCCCGTCCTATGTTAATTCGTGTTAACACTCTTACTAAATGGTGCATGGGTTGAACCAAAATATGTTGCGTTGCCTCTTCCTACGTGTCAAATTGACAAACACTTTCCACTACAGCACAAACTACACACAAGACTTTCAACAGAAACACTTTAAAAGTAAGCTATATATAGTTGCATGCACAAAGTCAAGTCTATAATCACCAAACACAACGCACATATAATTAGGAATAGCCAATCACAGAATATGGAAACTAATAACTGTAACTGCGACAACAAAACACTTGCCCATGCACTACCGAAACAATGTATATGACCAACAACATTATTTACAAAGCCCCAGTCACAACGACTACATTTGTATGACAGTGACTACATTTAATTTAATGGAACGTTATGCTAACCACACTTCATCTTTTCGTCATAAAAAAAGATTCAAACAAAACGGAATTTTCGAAACATATTTGGAAATTAAAAGAAAACAATCAAGATTATACCATCAAATGGTCAATTTAAAACACGCTATTTCGCACACAGGGGAATCAAAGCGCTGCAATTTTTGTTTGGAAGAAAAACTTTGCATTTTGAAAGACATCAACAAAGACAATTTACTCAATAAAAGAAGCGAAATTTTCGCTAATGTCCTCACAAAAACCGTTTTCGAGTAAACAAGGACGTTAACAAAATTTTATGACCCAAGCATTGTTTCGCCTAAGTACTGTTTCGCCTAAGCATTAATTGTTTCGCCTAAGAATTGTTTCGCCTACACACATCCCGCGCATTCTTTCGATGGCATAAAAGCAACCTATATTTTCGAAATTACTCACCACTTGATGACTCCTATACGGATGAAACAGACTGTTGTAGTTTTTTTAGGTAAAACGAAAAACTATATTACGCTCTCTCTATATGGTATTGGGCACTGTTTGTGTTTCGTAGACCACAAACTCAAGCTACATATATATATATATATATATATATATATATATATATATATATATATATATATATATATATATATATATATATATATATATATATATATATAATCAATATGGCCGCCGGTCACACTTTTAGTTTTAAGCTCTTAAAATTTTTTATAATTTTAGCCTTACTTGATTGTAAGACTTATTCTACTAGACCTTATATTGTTCCTAAGGACTCTTATTCAAAGGATATCCCTCGACTGAACGCTGATGGGTTGTTATTTGGATTATTTTCATGTGAATATATACTGCCTGCTGCTGCTTGTGTTGTTATCAGGAGACTTAATTTGGAATCTCACTTTGCTGTGTCGTTTGTCCTAACCAAGCAGACTAAACATGGAACTACGTGCTTGGCGCTTCCATCCAGGCCTTTTGTCATCGATCTTACGGTTCACGTTGACATATCACCGAATCCAGGACCAGATGCTCAGTGCAAATAGTTAACATGCACAACTCAACGAAAACGAACGTATAGCCTCATTAAACGAACGATCTATTCGTCGAAATGCGTAGAAACTGGCCTGATCATTGGTAGAGACAGCACATCATGAACTATCGTCTGATATTGAACGAATATTATAATCACATACCGTTCCAAGTAACAAACGAGCTAATTCTCATTGGTTGAGACAGCTGACAGAACATTATGAATTTGCGACTGGTGTTACACAGCGGACAGCCTTATACTCGCAAGGACAATACAATTATAAGTTGTTCGAAATCCATTGTCAAATATCCAATATTTTAGAAAGGACTCGACATGTACACTTGCCCATGTTAAACTACAAAATAAAAGTTCACATGTAATTCGTTGAAAAGGTCCGGACCATTATTCATTAAACTCACAACTCACAAAGTTAGGAAACAAAACTCCCTCAATACGTGGAGTTGGGATGTTCGCTTGGGCTCCAGTTATAGCAAGAATAATAATTTATAGAAACGCTGAAGTAACAGATTAGCGGTTAGCAATTAATGCCTGGTTTACTTCGTTATTTAAGCTGAGATACCTTTCTTCCTCTAACAATTATTCAATATGTATTCCGACTCAGTACACACAAATAAACGGAGAATAAAAGATTATTAATAAGTGCAACTGATAAAAATTGCGGAGCGGTTGCAGTCTCATGTAACTCGTCCATCGTGACTACGGTTGAAAGGCATGAAGGAATTATTAAAGTATACTTGCATTTAATATTTCCATAAAGACAAGGGTGAAAAGTGCAATTTGCATCGCTATTCACTATTCATGCAGAGAATGTCAATAAGTATGTGCATGCCTAAAACCAAATAACACATCCCTGCAAAGACTATATAAAATTTCGGTATAGTTTTTATTCAATTTATAGCCATTAACTAAACAATAACTAGTATGTTTTGATATATGCATGTTTAATTGTAATCTTGACATGTAAAATATGCTATCCTTATTAACATAACTGAATATTCGTTCGTTTTCGTTGAGTTGTGCATGTTAACTATTCAGAATACGGCAAATCAGATGACAAACTTTTGTCTTGTGCAACAGCAGCGGCATTACTCTCGATACGATATTCGCGAACAGATTTACTATCGCCAAAGTGGTTGGTCCACAATAGTCTGCCGTATATATCTACTACGTTTTCAAGAAGTTTCGAACAGTTTCAGATGAGTGGTATGAATTTAGGAAAGGGACAAAGAAATCCTACAAGGCATCGCCAGAAAATTACTAGCCACTCGGTTTTGAATACTAATGAGCATTGGACAAATGGGCAACAATACCCCATTCAAACAAGGATAACAACGCAGCCACGAAATATATGTCCATATTATAAACGCCCTGAACGGAATAACCTGATTAAAATCGCCTGTACGCGTATGGTCCCATCCTTTAAGCCAAGCTTAGCCACTCATTTTTGTCTACTAAATACAAGATCGCTTAAAAATAAAGGGACACTTGTACATGATTACATCCTAGATCGCAAAGTGGATATTTTAGCTTTAACAGAAACTTGGCTCACTCCTGGAAATGTCAATGAATTTGAAATAAACGAGACTACTCCAAATGGTTATGCATTTTTACACGCCCCAAGACATACTCGTGGTGGTGGAGTCGCTGTAGTTTATAGAAAGTCCCTACATCTCAAGCAAAATCCTACATATGAAAAGTTTAAATCATTTGAACATATGGACTTAACCGTGAAGTCCGCATCGAAATCTTTAAGAATTATTGTTATATATCGACCATGCACCAACGTCAAAAAACAATTTAACTGAATCCACCTTTTTTTGTGAATTCTCTACTTTACTTGAAGAACTGGTACCTTATTCTGGTAGTGGTAGTGTCCTTATCGCAGGAGACTTCAATTTCCATGTTAATGACTCAAGTAATGCATCTGCGAAGAAGTTCCTCAATTTATTGACATCATTTGACTACAGAAACCACGTACTTACTGCTACTCACAAAAAAGGCCACACACTGGATCTATTACTAACACGATCTGACGACAAATTTGTATCAAACATAGATGTCATTGACCCTGAAATCTCTGACCACTCGGCGGTGAACTTCAAACTTTTGCTTGCTAAACCACCTTCCGTAAGGAAACAAGTGAGTTTCAGAAACACAAAAGCAATTAATTTCGATTTGTTTCGTACCGACATAAAAAATTCTAGTCTGCTTAAAACACCCAATACATCTACGCTTGCCGAATCTTATCAAAACGTACTTTCTACATTGCTGGATACCTATGCACCTGTTAAAACCAAGACAGTAACACTACGTCCTGCTACTCCTTGGTATACACCTGAGATTCAAGAACAGAAAATCAGAAAGACGCGCTTGGAACGTCGATGGAGAACTACCAAGCTTACAGTGGATAGAGAGGTGTACACCCAACAATGTATTGTTGTAAATAGGACTATCTATGCAGCAAAAACCAACTACTACAAAGACATGATAAACGATTGTGGGTCGGACCAAGGAGAACTTTTCAAGAAAATAGATAGGATGTTTAAAATGCCAGTAGAAGGGAAATACCCATCATGTGCTTCATCTGAACAGCTTGCAAATAACTTTGCACATTTTTTCGACAACAAGATAGATTCCATCAAAAAGGATTTGTCCACAAAATCTGCAAATCTATTATGTTCTCATATCATGGACACAACTTTATTATCAAAAAACACCAAACTTGAATCATTTGCGCCTACAACGACGCAGGATTTGCTTGGGCTCACACGAAAACTGGTTAAAAATTATGCATACTTGACCCAATCCCAGCGAAGGTACTAATGGAATGTTATACTGATTTATTACCGGTTATCACTAAAATAACTAATATTTCACTGGAAACAGCCACTGTGCCAAACAATTTAAAATGTGCTGCTCTTAATCCAAGACTTAAGAAAGATAGTCTAAGCACTGACGAATTTTCAAGTTTCCGGCCTATTTCAAACCTTAAATTTGTATCAAAATGCATAGAGAAAGTGGTAGCAACTCAGTTGGATCAACATATCACAAGTAATAATTTGGACGAACCCATGCAATCTGCGTTCAAGAAACACCATAGTACCGAGACGGCATTAATAAAGGTCCAAAATGACATTCTACAAGCCATTGATAATCAAAATTCCGTGATTTTATTGCTGCTTGACATTTCTGCCGCCTTCGATACGATTGATCACGAAATATTATTGTCCAGGCTATCCTCTAGATATGGAATCACTGGAAAGGCTCATAAGTGGTTTGAATCATATCTTAATGAAAGAACATTTACGGTGCATGTCTCGGGTGGTCAATCCACTAAACGCACTCTAGGAT